GGAAGAGGTGGCCCAGCTGCGGGTTGTGCCCTGGGCGTGCAGACAGCCTGGGGTGCTGGGGCAGAACTGGGCATTTGGTGTCCGGCTGGGTGGATCCAATGCTGGAAGCATCACTGGAGTTTGAATTCTAGGAGCTGCCTCATGGTCACCCCTGCCCCGAGGCAGCTTTGCCTCTCCAAAACTGGGGGGACAAGGGTGGAATGGTTTGAGACTAAAAGAAGGGAGATTCCGATGAGATCTAAGGAAGGAATTTTTTATGATGAGGGTGGTGAGGCACTGGCACAGGTTGCCCAGAGAGGTGGTAGATGCCCCATCCCTGGAAACGTTCCAGGTCAGGTTGAGCAGGGCTCTGAGCAACCTCATCTAGTTGAGGGTGTCCCTGTCCATGGCAGGGGGTGGGAACTGTATGATCTTTGAGGTCCCTTCCAATCCAAACCCTTCTGGGTTTCTGTGATAACGGTAACAGAGAACCGTTTTGGACTCTACAGTGGGCATTGTGTGGGCATTGCTGCGGTAGTCCAGGAAAAGGACAAGGTGCCAACGGTACCGTTACCAGGTAGTCACTCAAATGCTGACCTCTGTTTTAAGCAAAGTCTTGCTTTAGCCCACGTCTCTGTGTATCTTTTTAGAGCACTCAGCAGATGAGGTGATGGAGAGGTCGCACTTGATATACAAGAAATACCAAAGATTTTGTCTGGAACCTGAAATTGTTGCTGGATATCACCCGGCTCTTGAGCACAGGCTGTCTGTAGGGAACAGCTGAGAGAAAACACAGGATCTGCATGTTCGTAGAATCACGGAATCCTGGAATGGTTTGGGTTGGAAGGGACCTCAAAGATCATCCAGTTCCAACCCCCCTGCCATGGGCAGGGACACCCTCCACTACACCAGGTTGCCCAAAGCCCCATCCAACCTGGCCTGGAACACTGCCAGGGATGGGGCAGCCACAGCTTCTCTGGGCAACCTATGCCAGTGCCTCATCACCCTCAGAGGGAAGAATTTCTCCCTCAGATCCCATCGAAATCTCCCCTCTTTCAGTTCAAAGCCATTGCCCCGTGTCCTGTCACTACACACCCTTGTCCAAAGCCCCTCTCCAGCTTTCCTGTCGCCCCTTTAGGTACTGGAAGGTGCTGGAAGTTCTCTCCAGAGCCTTCTCTTCTCCAGGCTGAACAGCCCCAACTCTCTCAGCCTGTCTTCGTAGGAGAGGTTCCAGAGATTTAAAAATGGTCCATCCATGTTTCTCAGGTGGGACTTTTGCAGCGAGACGTATCCCACGAGTCCTCCCCTGATGGATTTCAGTCAGCAGATCCTTTAGCCTTGCCAGATATTGACAGCAACTTATGACCTTGCAGAAGAGCAACACCTGAATTTCGGCAGGAGTTGTCAGGTACATGACTTTTTTTCTTCTGAAAACTGTAAGATCAGGTGTTCACGAGGAAATTGAAATACTTTCATATCTCAGTATGAAGAAGGGGTTACGAGGAGATGAGACATGCCTGTTCAACACAGACTGTAGACCAGGTAATTGCTGCTCAGAGCATTGGAAATGTTGACGTACCAACTGGCTGCACACCCTTTTTGGGCTCCTTGAGGCTGAGTTTCACCTAAAACATGTCTGACTCAAAGCCTCTGAAGCTCCAAACACGGTTCTGCATGAACTGACATTGCAAACCAGCAGCTGCTGAGGGACTGGTGAGGCAGAAAATGCCAGACAGGAGAAAATCCGTCTCACATTCCTGCAATTGTTTTGCTTTTTGAGGCAGAGAGGAGAAAAGCTTGGCTTGCCAAGCACCAGTGTCCTGATTCACGAGGGGAAATCGTGATCAGTAAGACCCCTCTCTTTCGGCACGCTCCGTTTTCCGAGCAGAACAACGCTGGAAAGAATTTTCAGCAGCTGGTTGCCCACATTTGTTCTTACTAAAGGCTTGAAACTGCAGCTGAACGTCAGTCAACACTTTATTTTGAAACTTGACCAGTCTGTAACTCACCTTTTCATAACAAATAACGTTACACTTCATTTTAGGGAGTGCACCATTGTTGATTTTCCCTTTTTTCCCCTCTCTAGTTAGAATGGATGCAGCAGAAAAGAAAGTCCAAACGTTTGTGCGAGTCAAGCCAACAGCCAATTTTGCTCAAGATGTGATCAAGCTTGGGCCAGACAAGAAGGTAAAGAAAAAGAGGGTGCAAGTGTGAAAGGTTTGGAGTTTGGTTTCAGTTTTCCCCGCAGAAATGCAGAATTCCTCCGTTCCTCCAGGCCATGCGGAGCCTTTTGGTGCGTGTTGGTTCACGCGTTCCTGCTCGCTGGCCTCTGCGCCGACAGGGGCTCGTGGTTTTGTGTCAGCAAGTGTGACTGTGGAAAACATACCTCTTGTGAGACAGTCACTAGGGAAAAACCTTCAAAAGGACTGTGGCTCTGACTGATCCTTGAGGAATTCCCAGTAGAAACCACAATTCCATCCTAAGAGCTCTCCCTGGGTCTTTTTCTGTCCCCCTTTATGCCAGTTCCTCCCTTCACCTTTTCTTGCTTAATTAGCAATTTCCCCAGGACACAAAATCAGACACATGATTGAAAGGTAAACAGATGAGCTTAGCCACATTTCCCTTTTTTTTAGAATATCTATTCCCAGAAAATACCATCCAGGTCAGTAAAATAATAGAATCATAGAATCCCAGACTGGTTTGGGTTGGAAGGGACCTCAAAGATCATCCAGTTCCAACCCCCCTGCCATGGGCAGGGACCCCCTCCACTACACCAGGGTGCCCAAAGCCCCATCCAACCTGGCCTTGAACACTTCCAGGGATGGGGCAGCCACAGCTTCTCTGGGCAACCTGTGCCAGTGCCTCACCACCCTCAGAGGGAAGAATTTCTCCCTCAGATCCCATTGAACTCCCCCCTCTTTCAGTTCAAAGCCATTGCCCCGTGTCCTGTCACTACACACCCTTGTCCAAAGCCCCTCTCCAGCTTTCCTGTAGCCCCTTTAGGTACTGGAAGGTGCTGGAAGGTCTCCCTGGAGCCTTCTCTTCTCCAGGCTGAACAGCCCCAACTCTCTCAGTCTGTCTCCAGAGCAGAGGTGCTCCAGCCCTCCCATCATCTCTGTGGCCTCCTCTGGCCCCGCTCCAGCAGCTCCATGTCCTTCTGCTGTTGGGGACCCCAGAGCTGAACGCAGTATTCCATACTATTATTCATGCTCCGTTTTCTACTTATCTTCAGGTCTTCAGTGGGTGTTTTTTTCCAGGCAGTAACTGCTGAAACTCTTCATGTCTATTGAAGTTGTCTTCATCTCTTTTTGGGTTCCAGAGCATAGATATATACATCCAACGAGATGCCAAGAAAGGAGTTGTGAATAACAGGCAGACTGACTGGTCCTTTAAACTGGACGGCGTCCTCCACAATACCTCCCAGGAACTGGCGTATGAGACTCTGGCAAAGAAATTAGTGTCTGAAGCTTTAATTGGCTATAATGGTAATTTGTTGCTGCTTTTGTTATTTTGACAATAAATGGAGATTTGATCTGAGGGAGGGATCCTTTTGATGTTCCATTTGAGAAACGCAGAGGTTCCTTCCTGACTTAATTCTTTTCCTTTGGATTTTTTTCCAGGCACGATAATGTGCTACGGGCAAACGGGGGCCGGTAAGACGTACACGATGACGGGAGCAACTGCTGAGTACCAGCATCGAGGAATCATACCCCGAGCTATACAGCAGGTAGTGGATCTCACCACCCTCTGAGTGAAAATATTTTTTCTTCTACCCAATCTAAATCTGCCCTCTTTCAGTTCAAAGCCATTGCCCCGTGTCCTGTCACTACACACCCTTGTAAAATGTCCCTCTCCAGCTTTCCTGTAGCCCCTTTAGGCACTGAAAGGCTGTGATAAGATCACCCTGGAGCCTTCTCTGTGGTTCTGCTTTATTGTCATTTGCAGAGGTTGATCCCATTTAATTCTTTGAGCTCACATCAAGTACTTGCTGCTTCCCAACCGGAAGCAGGCAGGCCTTCCAAAGTGGTGTTTTCGAAACTATCGTTTTGCGGAATCGTGTTAAAACTGTTGGCTGAGCCCTGGCAGCCCTCAGGCCACCGCAGTGCAGAGTTAGCTGCATGCATGCAGACACTCTTGCAGCTCCTCAGAAAGTTATAAATAGCTTCTCTGGAAAGCCGTAGGTAGCTGATAATTCTGTTCATGAACTGGCACTGCCACTGACAAACTCTTTTGTCTTTCTGTAGGTCTTCAAAGCAACTGCACGTTCCGTTGATTCCTTCGTCACCGTCCGAATATCCTACCTGGAAATCTACAACGAGACCTTGTTTGACCTTCTGGCCACCACGACAAGCCACGGGACCAGCGACGTGCCGATGGCCGTAGTGGATCGCCCACAGGGTGTTTGTGTGAAGGGCTTATCTGTACATCCAGTCAGCCATGAGGAAGATGCTCTGAGTCTCTTTTTTGAGGCAAGAGAAAACAAATATTACACTTCATCTGGTTGTTATGTTTATTGGCTTAGCTGAGGGAGGAGGCAGTAAAGCAGGAGGTGGGTGGCCAGGACATCTGCAGGGAGATTCAACCCTCTTTGTTCTCTTGATTGTGAGGAGGAGAATTGGTAACTCTTTGTAGCAGTGTTCCTGCAAGGAAAATGTCCCTGGCACAGAGATTCTGGAAGATGTCTATGGAGAAACCCTGGTTTTAGCGTGTGCCAGTGCAGGTCAAGTGATGGAGGAAATATGTTGGGGTGAGACCGCAGAACGTAGTAGCGTTGGAGATTCCAGGCAGCACCAAAATAGTGCAGGCAGCCACGGAACCTGCCTTCATTTCAAAAGGCTTCTCAGCAGACCGAGATCCCAGACAGCCCAAAAGACTTGTTTTCATTACACAAGGGTGTCAGTGTACAAAGTGTACGATATTTGGGATCCTTTTAGACCCACCAGCTGACCTACACTGGAATTGCTTCCTGAAAAACACACTTGCCTGTCCCAGCTATGTCAATGCTCCAAGGAATGAGTCTTGCCAGCGATGTCTTTGGCAGATACTTTGGGATAGTCATGGCACAGGTACCGTTGGTCAGATTTTACAGCAGGGACGCTCACACAATGGGTTGGCTTTGTGACAGGAGTTTGCTTACTTATGCCTGCATTTTTCTTTTTCTTGTGGATGCTTTAGTTCATCAGGAAAACATGAATAAATAACTGGTTCTGGATGCAGGAAGCATACTCTTACCAGGAGCCATCTGGTGTCCTCAAAATCTTTGGCTTGCCTTTTTAATAACGGGACTGTGGTGTCCTAAGCTAGCCCCTGTGATACGCAGGAACTCCCATTTTCTTTTTAATGAGTAGAAGGAGGATGGTAATGCAGCTTAACTTGGGATCCCTTGACACGAGAAGTGTGAGTGACGCCTGGGGATCCCTTCAGGTCCTTAGATGAGTTCTGCCTGTGGTTCCAGGTTCATGGAGAAAGCTCCAGGCTTTGAGGAGGCTTCCCGCTATGCTGTGACTCTTCATTTGTGGAGTGGGGTTGATAGTATTTACCCCAAAGTCTTCATCTTCATTCTTGCTCTTGGAATTAATTACACTCCTTAGACCTTCCAGCTCTCAAAGGTCGTTGTCCTTTGAGACCCAGGCAGACCAGTCAGCTGTGAAACCCGTTGATGGGTGCATTTCTATGCTGTAGAGCCTTCCATTTCCTTTTGTGCCTCTCCAGCCTGGCAGCACAGCTCCGTGACAGCCTGGTGCTCCTGACAACCAGTTGCAACACTGTTTTCAATGTTGCTTTCTTTTCCTGTGAGTGGGCACTACAAATTCGTGGCTATCGAATACGCCTGAGTTTTGTATGACATTTAAAGCTTGGGTGAGCTCTTTGGTTTTGTAGTCATCAAGAAACCGAAAGAGCCAGGGAGGTCTTGCCTCTGAGCAAGGCTCGTCTGCCTGTTCCTCAAAAAGCCACAGTTCTGTGAGCTGAGCCTTGAAAGTGGAGATGCAGATAACGTGGTCTCCAGGAAAAGGCGTTGTTGCAGTAAACAGTGACCTTTACCAACGCTTCGAGAGGCCTTTGGGTAAGAAAAGGAGGCAAATAGGGTGAGCCCCTGCTCTGACTGCTCTAACTGACCGATCGGTGCTCCGGGCTCTGCAGAGCGAAGAGGGAGCCATTCCTTCTTTAACTGCATTTCCAATTTTCCTTTATTCTACCAACACAGAAGTTTAAAAACACTCTCTTCAATTTTGACTTCATTTGCAGGGTGAGACCAACAGAGTGATAACAGAGCACACGCTGAATAAAAATTCATCCAGATCCCATTGCATCTTTACTATTTATATTGAGGTAAGAGCTCCGGCAGTTTTTATCAGGACTCAGATGGCTGAGGATCTGTACATGTCCGCTTTTTACTGTATTTCAAGTTTTGTCTACTGTTACATACAGTTTATGTTCTTTTTCCCCTCAGTCTCGTTCCAGAGTTTTCTCAGACGTCAAATGTGTTAACTCTAAAATCAACTTAATAGATCTGGCAGGCTCGGAGAGACTGAGCAAGACTGGGGTAAGTAACGGAAGAAATATCTCAGTCCGTGGTGAAGAGTCCAGTAATCAGCACGGTGGAGGTGAAATTATGGGTTTTCCCCACCGCAGAATTCGGCCTGTAATAAATAGGAGAGACTGTGACAAACTGAAAGTCCCATGAACACATCAGAGGGTTGTTTGCAGCTGCTGCGTGTCGTTTCTGCGTCCGCGTGTAGGTGCCTCCCACCCTGCATGTGCCTTCCAACCTGAGCCAGGCTCAGTTCATTTGAGCCTGTCGCTTCTCAAAGAACCCCTGATTTTCCTCTTCATTCCCTGAGTGACAGTGCAAATCCACTCTGGTCACAGCAGGCAAACTGTTGGAACTTTCTTAGAGCATTAGAGCTCAACAACCAAAGGCTCCTCAGGTCCCGTGTGACGTTCTGCATTGATCAGAACAGAAATCGCAGCAGCCCTGTGACAAACACGTAATTTACCTTTTGGGAAGGAGAGCCAGCAGTACTGGTAGGCTTGTAATGAAAAACTGAGCGCTGGGAACTTGTTTTCAAACCGAAGAAAGCTTTAGGTCAGGAATTTATTGGGTCTGAATGGGATCCTTACCCCGGCAGTCCGTGGTACCCTCGGGAAGGAGCGCGCTCTCGCCCGCGGTTAAACGCGTGTTGTGGCAGCTTTGCCTTTTGGTCTTCGTTACAGTCTGAAGGGCAGGTTCTGAAGGAAGCCACGTACATCAACAAGTCTCTGTCGTTCCTTGAGCAAATCATCATTGCCCTGGCTGATCCCAAGAGGGACCACGTCCCCTTCCGGCAGAGCAAGCTCACTCACCTTCTCAAGGACTCGCTAGGTAAGAGCTGTGGATTCCAACAGCCCCAAATAATTCCTAGAAAACTCTGTTGTTTCAGTGAACATACCACGTCCTAAGGCCATAACATATAAACACATGGAACTAATTCCTTGTTCAAAGGATGTCTGGTTTTCCTCATCAAATAAAACAGCGGGTGCAGGAGACAGTACAGAGCCCACACTGATCGAGCCAGTAGAAATCCACAAAAATTTCGTTGGAATCTTTTAAAAAACTACCACCACAAAATCCCCCCGGCATGTTACGAGCCTTTTCACGTGCTCCTGCTTTAGCACCAGCCTACAGAGGATAAACCCAAAGCCGTGGTGCATCATGAATCCATAGGAAAGGCTTATGCTCTTGGAATGCATAATTTTTTTAATTATGATTTTTCCCAGGGGGAAACTGCAATACTGTCCTAGTGGCAAATATCTGTGGAGAAGCGGCGCATGTGGAAGAGACTGTAAGTTGAACTGATTTCTGCACAATTCAAGTCTTGTTCCTGCTGCTGGTGCAGTTGGCCATAGCTGGGTTTAAAAAGAGTCTCTGGAGGGCCATGGCAGGAGTCCCAGAGAAACATCCTGCCTAATTCATCAGAAACATTGGATAGCTCATCTTATCTCAGAGGCTCGGAGAACAGATTGCTCTCGCCCATCTGCTTGGTGATGCAGTCGAGTGGTGACTGGCTGGGGGGAACACGAGAGCCTGAAATAGCACAGGCACAAGCAGCTAAAATCTAAATTTGTGTTAATTATTATCCTTGGTTCAACTCTACGGATGTGTTTGAATGGTACGTCGCAGAACGAGGTCGATGGAATTGCACCCGTTGGCATCCGAGCCAAGCTGGCTTTCAGCTGGTGCAGGGAGCAGGAGTAATCTCAGAGTTAGGTTTTTTCCAACCTGTGAAATAATCATAGAATCATGGAATGGTTTGGGTTGGAAGGGACTTCAAAGATCATCCAATTCCAACCCCCTGCCAC